TGGGGGCAGCTTTAATACTTGGCTGGTAAGAAATGCTAATTCTGGCAGCATTTAGCCCCACACGGCTCCTATCAGTGGATCCTTCCTGGGGAATCATCTCTGCAGTTTTGCCTGACCTGGGCCTTGGCACCTGGCAACTTTGTCCACCGACCCTGATGGGCCCCTGCAGGTACCGCTGGGTAGACAGCAGATAGGAAAACTGCTCTGCGTGTCTCCCCAGATCAAAGTATCCTCCCTCTCACCACCACCACGGTCTGCCCACCTCAGCCAGCACTCCATGGAGACCAGGTGGGAGCACTGTTGCTGCTGGAGTGTGACAGCCCTGCCACAGGTCTGCAACTCGGGAGCAGAGATTCAGCCCAGCTGGCTGCTGGTTTATTTACTAATTTTTGTACAGGTAGCCTGGGTTTCGTTACTGTTTTCTACAGTAAATGTGGTATGATAGCAGATCCCACCTATAGAAAGACCTGCCTTCACCCTCACATGGTGCCCCTGACAGAGGCTTTAGGCAAGGTGGCTGAGTGGGGGGTGGCCACATGGGGAACATTGCGGGCACTTGCTCAGCATCACTGGAGCAGGAAGCCTTGCTCTGAGCCAATCTTTTTCTACTGTCTGGCTCCAGGTGTGACACATCAGCCAAACTCCTTCAATACTAGCTCCTGTCTCCTGACCTGGGGAGCAGCATTTCCAGCAAGGCCGCTCTCCCCCGAGCATCCTGAGGGAGGAAGGGAGGTCCTGCAGGTGATGGCCTCCAGAAGTTTTAGGCCCATTGAGGACTCTGGCTGGGACCACTGTCTCCCACTCGAATTGGAAATAGCTGCTTCCAGTGTGTAAGAAACTCCCAGAAGTCTAAGAGCAAAATGAGGAGGTGTGATCATTTATATTCAGCTTAGTAAATGATGGTCCAAATGCAGATTGGCACCAAGAGACCTGTCTTCCTGCCAATTTCCATCCAAAAAAGAGGGTATAATTTTTAAGAGGAGACAATCCTGGGGGGAATGCAGGCAGAGTCTGAGAGAGCAGCCGGCTGAGCAAGGCTGAGCCATGTGGTGGAGGGAGGGGTTTGGACTTGATTAAAAAGTAGGCTGACCCGGTGTCCTGCTATGCTTGGGACAGTCAGGACTGTGTCTGTCATCCAAGCTGCGTTTTTAATAGTACCCCTTTCACTCTCAGGAAAGTCTAGGTTTGGAGGATAAGTTCTATGATCACCCTATTCTGCAGAAGAGAGGCAGTTAGGCTGGAAGTGAACGCAGAGTGACATGTAGGATGTGGAGCCCCAAGGAGGTTCATTTGGCAGTGCCTGGAGGGGAGAGACAGAGGGAGAAGGCCAGGCTGGTTCATTGCCAAGAATATTTAGAACTGCAGGTTGTTGGTGATGTCCACTAATAAATTTGCAGAGTATAGATGTTGGAATGGTCTTTGGGAGTCTTCTAATTTACCTTCTCTTTTACCAGAAGAGGACACTAGGCTAAAAGAGATAAAAGTGACCTGCCCAGAGTAACTCACTGGTTCCTGGCAGAGTGGGGACTAGAACTGCCCCTCCAGGATCAAGCCCAAGTGCTCTTTTCTGACACAGAGGGAGAGGTTGGCTCTGGAAAAGGCTGCGGAGGATGACTAGACGAATGGGTTCCTGTGCAGCAGCACCGGGGCGGGGACGCGCCACAGGCCGCCCCACGGTCCTCATGCTGGGGGTGGGGAGGACAGAGACTGGTGAGGTTTAGACTTGCTGAGCATGCTTGGACCTGAGGCTGGGGCTGAGGTGGCAACTGGAGTCCCCGGGGAGTGTGAGTGGAGACAAGGGTGAATGGGTCCCCAGGGCAGTGACCACGAGAGACCAAAGAGATTAACTGGCAAATAGAACTGAGAAACAGGTAAGGACAGAGCTCAAAGGTGAATGGAGCCAAATACATAATTTACAGAATCTAAATATGTTCTAGAGTTCAAATAGCAGTGAAATCTCACTGAAAGGCAACTCCTGATAACAGCTGTCTTACCCCTGGGTACCTCTTCCCTAGCCCCCTCCCCCGGCTGCAGTGGGGGTGGGCAAACCTTAAGTCAGTAACAGCCTTGAGCTCTGCTTGGCAGATGGGGAAACTAAGTCACAGAGAAGCTTGCTTCCCCCCATCTTACAGTACCCTCAGCAGCAGGGTGTGATTAACAAGGCAGCCGCAACAGTGCTTCTTGTGGTTCCGTCACAGTCTCACCTCCTGTGTGCGCTCTTGTGGTGCAGGGGTGGGGTAGTAGATTTTTCTATGAATTCAGTCACCTGAGTGGACGCCCCAGGAAGAAGCCCAACTCAAGAATCTGGGGACCCTGGTTTTCTGGTCCTAGTTCTATTTCCTGCTAACTAGCTATGCAGTGGTGGCTAGTCGCTTCTCTGCCTTTCTTTCCTGCTCTTCCTGGTCATCAGATGAAGGCTCTGGCCTCCACCATCTGCAAAGTCTCACCGTGTCTGTTTTCCTGGGGTATCTGACCTTGGCCCAGTGATATGCTTAGCTGTGTATTCATCTTTTGCATTTTCTTGGTAGTCAGTGTGCAGAGCACCCTTGCAGATTAGGTCTTCAGGTCTTCGGGTCTCAATTACCTTTGACAACGTAGGGATGCAGCAATATGCATGCAAACTGTAATTTTTAAAAATATCATATTTGGCCCAGATCTATATTTCTTGCCTTCAACCAGTTTTCATGAAGTTGACTAAATCTGTAAGTTTATTGTGGATAGTCTGCACAGTGAATAGCTCACCAGAGCAAACATACAATCATCTCACTGTAGTCGAGAACCTGTGGCCTTCTGATTTCAAGATTGTTCTTTTTAAACAGCAATGGAGGCAAGAAAAGCTCCATCTTTCTCTGCTACACCCCTTTCAATAAAAGGATTTGTTCTGTAAAATTTGGATTCAGTCAAAAGGCTACACTCAAGGATCTAGAATGCGCATGTGGCCCCAAGGCCGCAGGTTCCCCACCCCTTTGCGGTGGGCTACACACCATTGTCACACCCACATGGTGCCCTCCAATATGCAACATTAAAAAAACCTCAATCTCCTGAAAAAAAAAATTATGAAATAGTTTCAGTATATATGAACTGAGAACACATTTTTATTCAGTGAAACTTCTTTGATGGTGCCTGTTCAAATATCTGCAAATATTGAGAAAACACCCACAGACGTCCTCGGTTACTGTGGCCACACAGTCTGCAGAAACCAGAAGGGAAAACACAAAATACTGAATGTCACCAAAGACCATGCAGAGTTCAGGACACCTCAGGCCATCCTGACCTTCCTCTCCCGACCTTAAACTGTTAGTTTCTAACCAGATGTGCTAGACAAGCCGGGACAGCAGGAGTGCGGGCAAGAGGTGAAGCTGTGGGAGGAGGAGAGGGCTTTGGGTGACATCTTTTTCCACCCTCTCACTCTAGACATGAAGGGTCTCAGAAAGAGGCTGCAGCATCCCAAGCTGTGGAGCCCCCCGAGGACAGCTGGAAGCAAGCCTGGAGGTGTGGTCGCCTGGGGCTGGGCTCTGTGCTGGGCTCTGAGATGCCCATGTAACCTCCAGGTGGGGCACAGGAGTTTCACTTCCTGAAAATGGAGAAGGGAAGGATAGTGGGAGAAGAGCAAGAGAGAAACAAGAAGGAGCAGATGGTAGGTGTCAGGAGAAAACGCCGGACAGAATGGGGGAAAGAGTCCCTGTGTCCTTGCCACCTTGAACAGTAAGTAGGGTAAAGAAGTGCGTGGGAACAAAGAGCTGCTTCAAGGTCACAGAAAGCCAGGCTGCACCGGGTAGGAAAGGTCCTCGTGGAATAGAGCTTGGGGCAAGGAATAAAGAATTAAGTGTGCAAAACCTCCAAATACCAAGAAAAGCTCATGTGCCCAAATCTGTGCCATTCCACGTGAATGCATTGCATACTCAGGACCGTGGTGAATCAGAGCTCCCAGATGACCCCAGCACTTGGTGTCAGCAGCACTTCTTTATCATAAAATTAACATCACTGAAAGCTTAAAAAAAAAGAGACAGACCAAAAATATCACATCTTAGGCAAATGAGTTGAAAATCCCTCAGAGTGACACCTATTTTTTCCCACCCATTTCTAAAGTCAGAGGACACCTGCTGAAGAAACTGGTGTCTAGGTAAAGAAATGCAATTCCTGGTACACGTGGTTTCTTGATGGCACAGAATGGAAATGACATCATGGAAATGCTTGTGGCTCAAGGTCAGTCTGCACAGTTTCTAGGTGAACACAGGAGTCTCAGGGCATTGGTGGGAAAGTGTGTGTGCAGGAAAGTGTGTGTGTGTGTGTGTGTGTGCGCGCGCCTCTGTGATCTGCTGGCGCCTACTGCTCTCTGCCTTTAAAGATAAAGTTTTAATTTAATTCATGTGGCTGCTTGCCAAGTTTTTCTTTTGGCTCACCTAGATGTGCAACCTAAAATGTAGGTTATACCATTTGCAAACGCCTCTGCTCCTGTCACTTGGAAGGAAATAAAACAATTGTTACTGGGGGAAAAAAAGGAGTGTGTCTTCCACTCAAGGGCAAGGAATCGGTGACATAAGATGCTCATTCCAGTGGTTAATATGAGCAGCCTAATTTGTGTAGCATTCCCTATTGTGACAAAAGTAGGAGGTGGCAGACTGGGGACGTATGGAATCCTTTGTCTTAATTAAAAAGTATAGTGGGAGACGTGGAATTTGGCCAAGCCTCATAAATCTGCTAAAAGAATCAAGACTCTGTCAGATAAGTTTAAATAGAACCAACGGAGCCCTCTGGGGAATTAAATAGATTCCCCGCTAGTAGTTGACACCCACTCTCCTGTCACTTTCCTGCACTCCACAGACGGCGTTGTGCTCATTAACCGGCAACCCTCCTACTCACCGATGACAAGTTTATCCCCACGGAGCACAAAATTCAGAGATGATAAATCTACTCCCGCTTGTAAAAATGAAACTCTCCTTGGGGCAATAAAAATGCTACGAGCCTTTAGGAAATAAGTTCTTTATCTGATAACCTACCTTCATTAACAAAGCCTGGTCCTCTTGGTCGGGACAGCTCTTTACTGCCAGGGAGAACTGCTCTAAGGTAACTGCAAGGGAAGAAATAGAAATGGTGAACGACCTCACTTTAGACTCTGAGTGCCTCTGATATGCAGGAGAACACTATGGTTATAATAGATGCACATGGCATGCTGGCCACCCTGCCTCGGGGGGAGGGTGGAAGAGTTCGCTGCCCGTCCCCTGCGTGGGGCAGGGCCTGCACATAGTGACTTCTCCACACGATCAGCTGGGACAGTCACATAAGAGCACAAGGCCATTCCTGTCAGCAAAGCTCCCCGCTACACTGTAGGAGGACTTGGGTTCCGCCCCTAGGTGGGCCACTTCATCCTCCAAAGACCACACTATATCCCTGTTTCCTGTGACATCCATCCTAAGGACTCCACGTGCCTTTGTAAATTTGGCAGAGCCACGTTTTCTGTCTCCACCTTCTATCATGATTTCCATGGCTTTGACTTGACTTTTGGTAAAAACACGATGTGACCCCAAGCATTGACTCAAGCAAACCCCACAGTCTCCCCAAAATATACCAAGTCGTCTTTCTCCAACCAACCTCCTCCAACAGAATGGTGGAGAGAAACCCAAGTTCACAAAAAAATGTCTTAACCATCATTTAAATTGGCTAAGAAAACTCTAGGAATAGTTAATGCACACAATTGACACAAATCACACTCCCCTTCTGCATCTCTTTGGCCAAGCTCCCACCAAAGGCCCACTTGTGTGAGCACCAATTTAGTGGTCTCAATAAGCACCAAGCCACAGGCTGCCTTCCCTGCACCCTGTGTTGACTATAGTTTCACTCTTGAACATGCTCCCATGACTCCTTGCCACCCTCAGATTTAAGTCTGACAGGCATTAGGGCTTTTACTAAGTTAACCAGTCTGGACCTTAGCCTTTTATTGCTACATTCCAAGCTGCATTCACTCTTCTGGGATAACCCTTTGGTGCTGCCTGCCGGGAGCAGTTCTACCTCTTGCCTTTAGGGAAAGCAGAGCTCAGCCCTCCACTTGAACACCACGGGCCTGCTCATCCCACCGACCAAAGCCACTGACCACTGGGGTTCCCCAGCCTCCACAGACCCCACAAGGGTGAGCAGAGCTAAACCCAGACTCAAGAATGAGGGATGGTCTGATTCCACAGCTTTAACAAGCATGTCTGCATGCCATGTTTATAAATACGGATATTTTAAAGAGAATTATATCAGCGATAAATAATTTTCATCAAGAAAACACTGGGTAGGTTTTTTTTGTCATTTTCAATGTTACCTATAAAATACAATTCTTTAAACTGTTTTCATCTCTGACGAAATTACTTTGTGTAGTCTCGACTGCTATCAGTTGTATCCTATGCTGATTATTTCCGTCAAGTCTAAATGTTTGCTCTTACCCAGTCAAAACGTGCTCAGGATCAATGAAGTGGTCAATGTTGCCAGCTTTACACACTCTCCCCATTTCATATATCCATATTAATTACATAGAATATTAATTGCTTCATTGCGTAGAATCTTCAATTTAACCTTTTTTAAAAGACTTAACTTCGTCCATAAATGGGGCTCAACAGAAACTTGTAGAGGGAGGTAAGAGCCCAAGCTATGCTGAGTTTACACAAATGCTTCTGCCCTCTCCATTTGGAACACATTGGCCCATGGAAGACCCTGGGGGCAAGACCTCTATTCCCCAAGCCTGCTGTCAGCTCCATTGTGGACTTGTGCTGTGGCCTGCTTTGATATGATAATATATTGAACTCTGACTATTGTCTGAGGATGAGTGAAGAATAATCTACAAATTCAGGTGCTAGGTTTTCTTTAGATTATCTTTTTAAAGGTGGTTATTTTACTTGGCAAAGGTGTAGGCTGTGACTTAGAATCTTACTGGCTGCAGTTGGTGGAAATCAGTGCCCTTGCCCTGGCTTCCTTAGGGGGCTGCTCCATTCTTGGCCTCAGCTCTCTCCTCTCTCCCATGTTCATGCCTCTAATTGCCCATGCACTGGACTCCACTGTGACACTTGTAGTTGTTCACAAGACATGACACCCAGTTCAGGTCACCTTGAACTCTGTACGTCCAATCCACATCAGTTGACTTCCCCGCCAAGGCAACCCTTTCCTTCATTTTCCCATTCCTGCGGGATGGTCTCCACCAGCCACCAGGGCTCCAAGCCTGCATCTTTGATTCTTCCCTCACATCACCAAGCCTGCTGATGCTTGCTGCACAAGGTCTCTCAGATGCACTCCTCTCCCACAGCCCCTGCCACTGCGATTCCTGGAGAACTTTCTAACTCACTCCCCAGCCTTGATGCCCACTGCTGCCACCACACCGAACCTGGCACTGCTAGAGCCCCCAAGCTTGTGGCTGGCATTCCCCCTCACCTCTCTAGGCTTAGCTCCTCTTCCCGGGTGCAAACCACCCTCTCTCACAGCCTCTCACCATTCATCCAAGGCCTGGTCCCCGGCCCACGTGATCCCTCCCTGTTTCCCTTCGGTCTGCCCTGATTCCAGCCTTCTCCTGGCACAGCAGGTGGAGTGGTGGCCGGCACAGGCTCAGAGTCAGACAGACCTGGCTTTTAATCTTCACTCCGCCGCTACCGGGCACAGGACCCTGGACAAGTCACATGCCCTTGCTGGGCCTCTGGTTCCTCCTCAGTCCCGTGTGGAGCCTGGTGCCTCGTGCCAGAGCAGGCGTGGGGACTAACGGAGGGGCTGCGGGGGAAGGAATGATGGCGGCACCAAGTCCACGCTCTGTCTCGTGCCCCTCTCTCTCTTCTCTGTCCCCGTTTGATGCCTGGGCATGACATGTGACACATGGGGTTTTACCTTTCCAGTCTCTGGTTCTTGGTTGTATGTGCCGCCCTGGCCTCAGGCCCTATGTCCTAGCCCAGACTCTGCTCTGTCCCCCACATGTCCAGCGTGCCCAAGGCCATGACCCCGTCTTGTGGGACTGGACTGAAGTGCATCTGTAGGGACACACAGCCACACAGATGGCGTTTTCCCCTAACGCTGGCTGAGTTTCACGAGGCTAACACCCTACAACCCTTTCTACACAGACAACGAAAGCCAGCCTTGGGAACGGAGGATGCAGAGCACACCTGTGTCCCGGCCGTCTTTCCCTGGCCTCAGGTGCCAGTGTGGCACGGCTCTTATGCCAGCAGTGGGTCCAGCTCGCACCTCACTCCACTCTGGCTCCTCCCAAATCCCGGCAGAGGACAGGACGGGGTGGGCACGGCTAGGCACTTCTCTCTACCAGGTCCGTGCGCCCACTTTCCCCGCGACCTTATTCACTGTTGACTTGTGGGGAGAAGCATCGTGAGTGACAAGTTGACATTTTATGTCCCTCTCCCTCCTCCCTCCCTGATGTTAAATAGGAAAAAAAAACTCAAAATGAAAGCATCTGTGGTATCTGCCTTCCTCCACCTTTGTTGCTGATTCAAGGCCCTGACTGCCTGGTGAAAATACGACACGCAGCAAAACAAGTGCCAGCAAAACCAGAGGTCTTGCCGGGGACACCATTTTCCCTAAGGGACTCTAAATGGAATCATTTTCTTGCTTCAACATCTACTGTTTTAACTGCCCTTAAGTGTTCCAGGGCCGCTCATGTCGGCAGTGGGAGGTGGGGGCTTCGGCCTGTCTGAGCAGAGGTCAGTTCTCCTGGGTTGGACCTCTCCACCTTTGTGGGACAAAGAAAAGGAGAACGGGAGACTTTTGGATAACAAGTGGCTCTGAGGTTGGGAGAGAGGTGGGGGGCAGAGAAAAGACCTGATTCAAGTAAAAAGTGGTCATTTGGGAGAAAAAATACGGACCAGCATGAAACAAATGCTTCCCCTTCTGGGTATGTGCTGCCATGGGCTTGGAGAAGTCTGACGGCTGAGGACCGCTGGGCCAGGCGCCCTTCTCTGGGGCAGCGGCCCCCCTTGCTGAGGCTTCAGGAGCTGCGGGTCCCACATCCCCTTGCTGGCCTCGCCCTGGGAGCCTTGAGGGTCAGGCTCCCCTAGCACCCACACCAGCGGGTCCTGGCCAGGTGCTCTCCTCACTTAGGACTCTTTTCTTCACTGAGTCTGTGGCACAGGGTGGGACACCGTGGCCAGTGTCTCTCAGCCCTCTCCTGTCACCCGTGTGTGACAGTGGTGCTCTCAGCTCCTTTTGCAGAACTGTCTGCCTCTCCAGGCCTCTGAAGTCCCCCACCCACCTCTGCTTCACAGCATAACAGGGAAATGTTGAAAGAGAGAGAAACAAAAGGACTTCGTTTTGCAGAAAGAGCTCTAGCTTTGTTTTCAAAATCAACACAGAGGATAAACAGGGGCCTTCAACTTCTTGGCAAGTAGCAGTCCCGGTGAATCCAGCCTCCTGTGCAGCGAGCTGTGTGAGGGCTGTGGAGCTGGCCCTGGGGGACCTGTATGTGAGGGCGAGGGCCCAGCTCACTGCCCTGTCCCCCAGCCTGCTCTGCCGGGGCCCCTGGCTCACGCCCTCCGTTCCAGAGAGTAGCAGAGCATGGCGTGTGTGGGCCTCCCCTTCTCCAGCCCCATGTCTGCAAGCCCGCGGGAGCCAGGGGCGCCTGGTCTCTGGCAGACAAGCCCTCGGTCTATAACCAAGTCTCAACATGTTCTCTGCCCCGAGTACTGGGATCTCAGCACTTCCCAAGGCACTGCCTCCTCTAGGGTAGAGATGGGCCACTGCTTCTCCAATGCAACCCTCCTTCCGGCCCCACTGCCACCACCTCCTGGCAGGTCTTTCTTTTCTAGCCTGCTGGTCACACCCACTTGTTTTGGTCTCCACCCTCCACCCATCCCCACCCTGGGTCTCTTTCTCCAAAGCACACACCCCCGAGGCCAGGAAAATTCCCCTCTCGGGAGCCAGGGTGTGACGGTCACTCTGCAGCAGAGGCCCAGCTCCATAACGCAGTGTCTAGCACACCCACGACCCACCCCAGCCTGCTTTTCCAGACTTATTCTGGCTTCTCCTCCAAACACTTCCCTTCTGACGAGGCAGGCCTCTTGTCATCCCCTGAACGAACCCTCCACTGTGTCACCTCTGCAGCCTCTT